CCGGAGCCGCCGGTCAAGGCTCTCCCCGGGGCCGGAGCCCCGCGCTCACCTCGGCAGCCCGCAGGGGGCAGCGCGGGCTGGCGCGCACTCGCGGAAAGGCCAGGATGTGCGTGCAAACGAGATTTCGCTGAAAGATACACACACGCTCACTCACACACGCACACATGCAAAATGCTGTTGGTTTAAATGTATGGTAGCTTTCTCTCCAGTGTCATTTGAATAATTCAGTGAGCCCCACTACCAGCTGTACTTCTGAAGCCTCTTCCATTCTTTTCAGCATTATAATTTTGGTTAATTTTCAATTTTAGGCCCTACGTCTCTGCAATTTGTGTATGAATAACAGAATAATTTTCCTCTTTTGTTTCGCCTTTCCTGTTCCTGAATCTAAATAAAGATGGCTTTTTAGTATTAAAAGTGGAAGAAAATTACAGGTAATTATCTTTGACGGTAAAAACGCTGTAATCAGCGGGCTACATGAAAAATTACTCTAATTATGGCTGCATTTAAGAGAATGGAAAAAAACCTTCTTGTGGATAAAAACCTTAAATTGTCCCCAATGTCTGCTTCAAATTGGATGGCACTGCAGCTGGAGGCTTTGTTCAGAATTGATCCTGGGGAGCTCTGAACCCAAAGTTTCACAGTGGGAAGGGGAAAAAAAGAAAAGAAAACATTTTTCCTAATGTAACAATACGAATGGTAGAAAATGACAAGACTGATCGGTTTTAAACCACTCTGAAGACTGACTGAGCGTGGAAGTTGCTCAAAAAAAAACAAAAAAACACCCCCCAAAAAACTGGTATATTGGTAAGTAGTCTTTGCTTTGTGTCTAATTATAGTGACTGTCCTTTTGCACGACTGTATGTAGCTGTCATTATATGGAGCACTCTGAGGATCTCTATTGACTTCTGATAAATGGCTCAGTGGTTTCAAGGTTCATAATTTGAAGGATGCCCAGGTCTCTAGCCATTAATTCTCACAGTATGGGGCACCCAGCTTGGATGAGGAAAGGGCTTTTCATTTTCAGTATTTGCTGTGCTTTCCACAAGCTAGGAAGGCTAGAGTTCGCTGGACAGCGTATTGTATACCTAGGCACCTTTCAAGGCTTTGCAAAACATTCCTCAGCTTTCATTGTCTGCTATTTAAAAACAAAGGAGGGCGCCTCCTTTCTTAATATTTTTTATTCTCCAAACCTCCGAAGAAAGGCAGAGCTCTGAGCTTTACTCGGAGAAAAATCTCAGCTTAAGCGACCAGCGGAGCCGTGAAATTACAGCAGAAATAGCCGGGTGATTAGAAACTTCTTCTAGTATTATCTTTGCGGTCTTGATAGCTCCTGTCTTAGTCGTAGTTGTTAAAAACTAACCAATGCATCTGCTCCCCCCCCCCTCCGCTTTCCTGGCTTTGCTCTTAGACGTATGCTAAAGGCTCTGTTAGCGGTGTCCCTCCGTGCCGAGCAAGCGGGGAGACAGTTTCTAGCTGGCTGCAGAGAACTTGGGGGTGAACGGGGGGGAGGTGGGGATCTGTTAAGGCGTAGAGAAATACGAGACACGCGGACGTTTTGTGGCTTTTACTCTATATATGAAAGAAGACAAAAACATACAAAGTATATATACAACTAAAATTCAACAATATATACAGAAAGGTTGCTCGGGAGAAAGGTCCCTCTAGCTTAGTGAGTGAGAATGCCGTCAATCAAGCACTGAACCTTTCCAAGACATAGGCGGCGGGTGTTTTTGCGGATTGCTCCTTCTGTCTTTCCTGCTCGTTTCCAGGGGGGCTGTGTGTGTGTGTGTGTCTGTGTGTGTGCACGCGAGTGTGTGCGAGTGTGCAAGCGTGAGTGAGTGAGTGTGTGTGAGGGGGGTTTCTTTGCGGGAGAGACAGTGGTTTCTTCTGAGCTGCAGCCCATTCCATTTTGATAAAGCATGCAGTTTTTGCTTCGTGGTAATGTTCTAATCTTACAGTATATTTTCATTTTCAACCAGTTCTCATTTTTTCCTCTTCATTTTTTATCCCTTCTCTCATTTAATTTTTTCCCCAGTCTGGATTTGGTGAATAAAAATGAAGGAGTCTAGTCTCTCTTTCATCATGTAATGTCTTTAGGTCATTAAACAAGTAAAAACGGCTGCCATTGTAGACTCAGGTTCTTCTTGTGGGCAAAGTCTGTAAAAAGTTTGTTTTGACGTATACTCCACAGAGAAAGAGGCTGGTGCCTTGGAGTCCAAATGAAAATATCCTAAAGAGAAGTGTCTTCTGTGCGCCAGAATGAAAATTGTGTCTTTCTGTTCGAGATCAATCGCTGAGGTTACTTAAAAAAAATAAAATAAAATAAAGCCACTCTGTCTCCTTGCCGCATCTACAAGTTCACACAGAGCCTGTTAGCTGGCATGGCTTGGCAAAGCAGGGGAACTTTTTGCCATGTCGAGACGAGGCGTTCTTGCGAGATTATTTCTCTTGGACAATTCACATCATTTGTGGTCTCTGCATTGTGTCTTGATGTGGAGAAGAATACCAGTGAGAATAGCCAGGCATGTAGCTGTTGGGAGGCATATTGACTCCCTTGGCAGAAGCTGAAACGTCCCAGACTGGAGGCAGAGCTGGAGAGCGAGGGGACAGGGCAGCGGAGCCAGGCAGAGGGTCACTCTCGTGGGGGTTGCTGCCCTGCTTCAGCAGTTTCTTAAATTTGGAGCGTTTGTTCTGAAACCAGATCTTCACCTGTAATCAAAATGCAGCAAATATTAGGCCGCTGCAAGCATCCAGGGCACATCAGGAAAGACCCTGAGGGCTGTGGTTGCACTTTAGCGAGGGTCTTGAACGTCCACACGATTCAGATGTCAAGTTGGGGATAGGGAGAGGGAGGAGGAGGGTTACCTACTGCTGTTCTCAGGCTCTGGATATAACTGGAGAAACCAGGAGAGGAAGAACGGAGCTGGAAAGCGAGATGCAGGTTTTAACGTGGAGCGTTATTCTTCCTGGGCAGGCCAGATTGATCAGGCTGAAACAGAATGTATGTTCTGGGCTTTCCTGCTTCACACACACAAGTGTGTGTGTGCGTGCGTGTGTGTGTGTGTGTGCGCGCGCGTGTGTGTGTGTGTGCACGTGTGCGCGCGCACACATTAATGCGTGTGCCTCATTCAGAATTTTGGAGGTCATTTGATCATTTGGACTAAGTGTTGTCAAACACAGGCAATCATATGATTTTGTGCCAGAAGACAGGAGCCAATAAACAAAGGGCATCTTACAAAGAAATTGTGCATCCAAAAACATGCATGATCAAGTAGTCCTCATTTATGTGATAGGGAGGAAGCATGATAGAACCAGGACTATGACTTTATTTTAAAAATCTTTTTTAAAGAAATGAAAATCCTCTTTTCTCGGAGAGTAACTGACTATCAAGGTTGCTTTTGGTCTCATCCTGCTGTCCTTAATCCAGTAAAGTTCCCAGGGAGGGAGTCTGCACTTGATAAGGTATGCAAGGATCGGGCCCACTCTGGCAAATCAGAATTATTATATAAATACTATATATATATATATATATGTGTGTGTGTGTGTGTGTGTGTGTGTGTGTGCACCTTAACTGAAGCTTAAAATCAAGTAAATGAAAAAAAAAACCCAGCTCCCAAGTGTTTATTTGACCTTGCAAACTTCGCAGATGTAATGTTAGGACACAAGCAGGACTGCTTGTCTGTCTGCATTTTCAGGATCGGGTCCCTAAATCTATGTATGAGAAAGAGAGAGAGAGAATGCAGAAGAGAGACAGAGCGTGCACGCTAAATATACTAAAATCCCATTTGCTTTACCATCAGCTCTATTTCTATGATTAATGTTTGCTGAATATTTAAAAATTGCTGGCTGGAAGCTACTGTTATCAATGACAGTGATAAAATACTGAAATTATTTGTGAATTCACATGATTACATTTTACCCAAATCGATCCCATCTATCCATGCGCTTCTCCACAAACCCCAGCTTGGGAAGTCTGTAATGCCTCATGTGTCTTTCAAGCTTAAATTAGCAGAACGGCACAGCTACTCCAACCACACTTAACTATGGCTTAACCTGCTATAATTTTGTACATGGCTGTCTTTGATCTTCAGATCTATTATCACCTTTTGTACATTTTGCCCAAGGGTAACCACTGCATTTGCGTTAGTCATCCAGGGCGAATTAACTATTGATTTTACAGGTATTTCCTAACGTGTTCTTCCTTTCTCTCTACCTGTAGGTTGCTACGATCTGGCTTTTCTTTTCTTTTAGCTCTACATCAGGCCCAAAGATTCCTTGCCTTTGTTTTGTTCTCCTTTTCACAGTGGGGCAACTGCATGTTGGTGCTGGAATTATTCTCATCCGAAAATATAGGCAACTTAAAAATTTTATTTGTGACATCAAAAGGGAGCATTTGCTCACCAGACGGCTGAGGGAAAGGCACGTTCAGTTATTTCAGCAGTAGACCGTTTTCTCTGTCGTGCGTTAGACAAGTTCTATCACATTAGATATGGGACCGTGTGCGTTACCTTTTCTACCGTTCCTGTACAGAGGCCAAAACGGCTAGGGACCATCGTACTTTGCTTGGCCTTTATCGCTCGAGCAGGATTTCAGTGATTTGGGATTCCCAGTAATTACCTGTGTCTGGGTAAGTCCTAATGAAGCTGCCAGTTCAGCTCTCTCTGGAAGTGCCAGGTACTGAGTCTGCTGAAAGCGATGATTTAAAGCCTGAAGTTGTAGACTAGAATAAATGGTTCGAGGCTTCCGAATCTTTTTCCCTTTTCCATTGAATCTGATTTCACCGTTTTCAATCACTGTTGTTTTTTGCTGATCTGCAAGCAAAACAACACAGCTGAAATACCACCCTCGCAGAGAACGCTGCACACCCTCCTTAGCTATTTAACGTGGGCATTTTGGTCGTGAATGCTCCGAAAATCCCCGCAGCCTGGCCACAACGCCGTTTCAATACCATCGCTACCGCGTGCTGGCACACACGCTCAGGCTCCTTAAAGGCACACCGCAATATACGGCTCTTCTTAGAAACTACCAGGAGAAAAATAACTGTCCGGGCAGAGTGGACACGCTGCGTTTCCCTCGGGAAAATTGAAAAATAAAAAAATGAAACTCAGCGCTGGCTTAATGAAGGGATTACTGGTTCCATGGCCATCCAGGTTTTACACAGCTAATTGACTTCGTGTCGCCAGTTTGGTGGTCAGTGAATCACCGGTCCGAGACTTTTAACAATGCTTTTCTCCCCCCTCCCCCTCTGCCTTCCCCCGTCGGATGAAAACACACAAATGATCAGCTCCCTGCGAAAAATACATAAATCAGACGGCCCCAAATCGGAATGCGACCCACTCGCCTGGAAACTTTCACTCCTCAGGTGTTAGCAGGAATTTTGCCTCAAGCCGGGCGCTTCGCGCGGGGTAACAAAGGGGAGCCGAGCGGGGCCGGGGCCGGGGCCGGGGC